AAATGCCGCGAAACCGTTATGGCTGATGCACTTTTAGACAAGGGGAAGGAGAGGCAGAGGGAGAGATCGATGGTGCTGCCGCCTGGCACGAGGACCACCGAATTGAAACTCTGTCGCCACTAAAACAAGGAGAGTTTGATCTCCCTGGAACCAACGGTGTCGAATCGAGAACTGCGCAACCGACTAACAAAGCCTGTCGATTCCGAGTCGAACGAACGCGAGCGAAACGATTGCAACGGTTGCTACTGGGAAGCAAGAGAGAGAGCTGTCGGAACGATTCGCCGAGCGGTTGTACGTGCGAACGGTGTGTTCGATGCGCCGAACACCCCTCCACGAACGATTTTGCGAAAAGAAAGCGATGACAAATAAAATCCGGTTTATCCAGATGATATCGCGGTATTAACCGAGCAAAATGAAAATCAGAATTACAATTTATCTATTAATATTCTTTATATATATATGTATATATATAGATACTTTTATACCAAACAACAATTTTGTTGAATAAATATTGTATTGTTACGTTAAAATAAATAAAATTATTTGACGAGAACAATACAAATGTTTGAAATAATGTATTTCAGCAAAATATTTTATTTGGTTTAATTAAGCAAACAATCCGAATGTTTGGTTTAAAAATTAGGTTGTTTGGACTATTCTAATGAAATTAATTTGTTTAAGTTAAATAAAATATTTAACCCGATCCATATTTGAAGTTGCAAAATGGAAAGCAACTGAGTTTAGGTTTTTTTTATTATATTGTGGCCCAATAGTTTTAAAAAGCATCTTACCAAAGAAATTCAAAAAGAAACAACTAATCAATCTACAACAAAAAGTAAATATAAATAAGATACTTTTTTAGAGTATATAAACGTCTTAAGGTATTTATAACTTTTTATTGCAGATGATATTAATTAAATGTTTGTTCTTTTATAGATATACTTTATAGAGATGAAATCGTAAATTCTGAAACTAATACTTCAGAATTAAATTTATTTTCATCAGCGATGACAAAACTAAAACCACAAGAGAACCAGGTTTTGTCACCAAATTAATTTAATGAAAACGGTAAACAAATTATTTAGAAATTATTTAAATAGTTACATTAATAATAACAAATAATAACAACAATAATAATAACAAATAATAATAACACTAATAATAACAAATAATAACAACAATAATAATAATAACAATAATAATCTGAGTAATG